ATGTACCCTGCCTTGCTTTATCAGAGAAGCAGTTAAATCTCCCAAAGCCAGTAATCCAGACACCTCATGGCTTCCAGATGACGTCTGCCCACTCCCCTGTCCAAGCAAAATATTCTCTGAAGCAACCTCAATGCAACAGAGAGGATCTCCAGGAAGGTGCCAGTGAAAGTGGTGGGAGTCAGGTCACCTCGTGGTTCAGCTGCTTTCCTTCTGGGAGCGGAGGGAATGTGTGTCTAAATGTACATTTGTCTTTTAATCCCTCGTTCATTCTTTGAATGTTACTAGGTCATCCTAAGCACCAGCACGGGTCCCCAGGACTTTAAAGTTTGCAAAACCACTTTCTCTATATGTCATGGCTTCCATTGCATGTGAAGGTTCCATAGCTCCCTTAGTTACAGGATGACACCCAGATCTATTGCAGCATCCGGGCCTGTTCTGTGAAGTTCTTATTGGTTGAGCCCATTCGTCACTATTTACTGAAAGAGCGCTAACTATAATTCATTCTGGGGTCTTCTTAGATCCTCCGAGGGAGAGGCACATGGATGAGGTGAGATGGATCAACCTCCCTGTGCAGCGCTACTTGCCCTCAGTCTTGAACTAAGGTCCTTGCACTGTCATCGAGCTGCATGAGTGTCTAGTTATCAGTGTCCAGGAGTCAGAGGCACAAGGAGTTAGATGTTGTCCCAGCTATAAGGCTGCGGGCATTCGGCTGATGGCGTTAGTGCTGTGGCTAACAATAGGGAAATGCCCAGCACCCTAGCACAGACTGCATCTTCTCTGACCGTCTTGCATTTCTGAGAGAACTTGGTGTTGTCTCAGACTACCTCCCCTCAGTACCAGACGTGTGGCCAGCAGTTGGCTCAAGTCTCCTCAACTTGAGCACAGATTTCTCCCCGTGGGTGCCGTACCCGACGCTTCCTTCCAGCAGAAAGAACATGAGAGCTAACATGTGCTGATTTGGCTGGATCGTGGCCCAGAAGAAAAGACCTGGTAAAGGCATGTTCCTTGGGTTGCCCAGGAGGCTGAGATGGTTTTGTATGCACACTGCAGAAGCACGAGTCCTTACTGGGTGTTGCATAGTTTTGCCTCTAGCATGTCAGTGAGTAGGGAGGCTCACAGGATCTATACCCACATTTGGGTAAGAATGCCTACACTAGCCTTAGATTTAATATAAATCTTATTGTTTAGTTTATCATCATTCCTCTACTAACTTAAAGATATCATTCCATTTACTATTTGAAAATTTTTTATGTTTATATATAACTATATATCCTTCTTCTAATTCCTTCTAAAACTCCCCCAACATGGGTACCTCACAACTTAACATTCTCTTTTTATAACCTACTGAGTCTAGTTATGTTACCCATATGGAGAATGACAACCTACCAGGGACCATATCCCCAAGAGAAAAATGACTCTCCAACCCCCAGCACCCATTAACTGCCAATAGGTCCCCATCCAGGTGTGGAGCCTCTGAGTCCCTCCCTTACTCATGCAGAAGTTTTGGCTGGCTTGATCTTGCACAGGTCTTGTACAGGTAACCCCAACTTCTATGCGTTCACTAGTGCAATGGTCATGTCACGTAGACAGCATTTTACTGCACTCCTCTCTATCCCATGACTCTTACATTCTTCTTGCCTCCTCTCCTACAGTGTTCCCTGAGCCTTGGCAGGGGCCTGATACAGATGCTCTATTAGGGCTAAACATTCGGTCACTGACTCCTTGTGCTTTGGCAGTTCTGAGTATGCATTAACCCCTGTCCACTGCAAAAACAAGCTACTCTGCCAAAAATTTTGAAGAGCATAGCACCTTACCTCACATGACCTTCCCTGAGTCAGTGCCAGTTCGTTGCAACCCCCACTTGCCCAGCACATTGGTGATGCTTTCTGAACCGCAGGGCACTCAACAGACGTCTGAGTTTGGATATTTCCTCGCCAATTCTGCTGGCATGAGACCCATGAATATCACCTATGGTCCGTGGGAAGGGATAGGCTGAATAAGTGGGCGGATCCCTTGGGAGAAAGGGCTTCAGAAAGCCCCCTGTATTTCCCCATATACCTATGCTGGGGCTGCAGACTAGTGATAGGCTAAGCCAGAAGATGTCAGCAGGGCAGAAGGCTCAGCATGTGAAAGGTTAGTTTAGGGTTGCCAAGGAAGAAGGGGAGAGGAATTAGGTGGAGAAAACTAGAGAGCGTTGGCGGTAAGAAGAAACCAGTGGGAAGATTCGAACCCCCAAAGCCAAATGTTCAAAGTGATGTTGGCTTCACACATGCATATATTACCATGTACTGAACAGTGGGGGTACCAGTTCACATATGGCTGTCTCTGAATCCGCACAGCATTTAAAGACATTATTGCTTCTTCATTTTTATCAAGACCTGGGGCCTCAGAACATGTTTTATGAGGTCACAGAGGGAACACCTGGAGCTTAGGGGCTTAAACACCTGTATAGATTGATCCCACATTCTAAGAAGGTTAGCAGTAATTAACAGGCAGCAATTAAATAGCCAAGGAGAGCATATCTCAAAATATCATCTAGCTACAGGAGGTGGGAATCATAAGGGGTGGGCTTTCTAGGGTACAAAGGACAATAACTTGTTTAGAAATGGGATTTTTGCAAGACTTTTAATGCTGCAACTTTACTGTGGCATTAGAGTTTTGTTAGGGCGTTAGTCATACAATATGTTAAAAATACTGGAGTAAGAGTGAGTCCCAGTGTGCGCTGAAAATGATTGAAAGACTTTAAATAAGGGCCAAATGGGGACAAGTCGGGAGAGGAGGGGGGAGTGTAAGAAGGTGTGTGCGTGTGTGTGCGTGCGCACGTGTGTGCATGTGTGTGGGTGCACGCACGTGTGTGTGTTTATCTGTGTGAGAGAGGGGGGTGGTAGGATTGGAAACAATTAGTGTAGGCGGAATGGGCTGTGTGAGAAGCTCCCCCTCAGCTCAGGCTGTCTCCATGGCTAGAAGATGAGCAGGTATTTGTATCAGACAGAACGCTCCTCCCACTCCCGTATCCCACTCAGCATGCATCTGACTAGCACTTTTCATCCATCTTTGGTCACTTTCCCACAAAGAAATTTCAGCCATGAAATTTACAAGCCCCTGCTTGACCTGGACCTCCTCCCATCACATCACATAGACTCCAGCACTAACGGTTCTGCTTGCAAGAGCCAAGGCTCTTCCTACTACCGTGATTTTGTGTATTCTCTTCCCTTTTCAGAGAACACTCTTTCTGACACCTCTCAAGCATTTTCCTAAGTGAATTGCCCTTGGGGTCTGTCACTTCACAACTGCTTTTTCTCAGTTGCACTCAAGGACACTACAACTGTATATATTTCTTTTTCATATTCTTCTGAGTCCTTCCTTCACTAGATTGTATGTTTCAGGAGAGCAAGAACTATATCTGTCTGTTCTATTCAGTACCAAAGGATGCATTCATCTATTTTGCAAATACTAGCTAACCATTTCTTATAGTGTTCAGGATGGCATACTTCCTTCAGACTGTGGACTCCAGCTAAGAAGAAGAAAACCTACATTCGGGATGGTTTGTTGTGGTCTCTGCTGTCAGAAGAATGGTCAGAGTCACAATCAAAATCAGTACGAACAGGGAGCATTTCATAAAGTATTAATGACTTGGGCATGGTTTTGATATGGAAGGATACATGAGGGGGAAGTAACATTCTGTTTGCCATGGAAGGCTGGGTTAAATTGAGTAGAGACGACTTTAAGAATTGAGGTGGTGTCTTACCCTTAGTCTTTCGACAAACAACATGGACCAATCTCTCTTGGATACACAGCTTAGCTAAAGGATGAGGAGCTGTGCACTGATGGAGATGCATCCCTGAGGGACATTGTAATGAAGAATGGGAAGGTGGGACCTGGTATTGGTGACAAGGCAGGGCATCAACGAACCTGGGGTCTGTCTTTGAAGATTTGACTGTCCGGTCATTTTGTGATTCTCCTTTAGGATGTGGGAGTGTCTTGGTATACAATGTACATTTTTTCCCTCATCATATAAATCCTTCAATCCTCTAGCCCGCTACACATGCTTCATCTCGTGAACGTAGAGTTGTAGGAACAAAGGGATTTGATGAGAGAGATAGGATCTTGCTCACCTGTCTTTTCCTCCAAACCCTTCACGGTAGTAGCATTCTCTTATGCTTAGGAAGGGCCTGGACTCCACACTCCAGCAGAAGAGGAGGCTGAAGTGGGTCTGTGAGTGGGTGGCAGGGGTCACTGTTCAAATTGGAGACACTGATGTCAGGTGGGCAGTGCCCGAGAGGAAAGTTCTCTTCCCAAGTGTATGTGAGCCCTATGTACTGCCTTACTCCAGGGACGTGTGGAGAAGAGGGACACTTTCCTCCTCCTCCCTCCTCCTCCTTCTCTCCTCCTTCTCCTCCTCCTCCTCTTCCTCCTCCTCTGCACCTGGGGCCTTCTGTGATTTTTAGATGCTTGATTTGTTAGGAACTTATAGAATTTCCATGTATTCCTGTGAAATGATTCTTCTCAATAGGCCAATCTGAGACTCCCCCACTGCCAAGAGGGAGTGAGGAGGAGAGAATGGCACTAGGTCAAACATTATTTATCTTCCTTTAGAGAAAAGCAGGGATGATATGCCTATAAACATGTCCATACATCCCATAGATACACTAAATAAAATGTTCGTCTGTGCAGTGTGTGTGTGTGTGTGTGTGTGTGTGTGTGTGTGTGTGTGTGTGACTGAGGCCAGAGAAGGGCACTGAATCTCCTGGAGCTGGAGTTACGGGTGGTTGTGATACACACAACACTGGTGCTGGGACTTGAATTCTGGTTCTATGGAAAAGCAGCAAACACCTTTTATCCACTGAGCCATGAGCCATCTCTCCCGTCCCCATAGGCATTTAGCACATGGCTAATATGTAACTACAAACATACTTAGAACTCTCAGGTGAAGTGTCTTCTCTAGGGAGAGTAAATTGCTGAACAAAAGAAGAAGCCAGGTTTCCAACAGACTCCATTTCTTTATTCATATTCCTGCTCTCTAGTCTCTCTGAACTTTCTCAACAAGGCAAACTCATCTCAGCTTGTACAGTGTGTGGTGGTGACACCTATTTTCCATCTTTGAGTCTTGCTGGTAATTATCCAGTTACCACAGGGAGAAAGAATCATGTGGCCGGGGAGGACGCCTGCAGAGGCGAGCGAATTTGACTCACGTGGTTTGCCGGTCTAAAGTCCTTGAATCTATTCCAGGAGAAAAGAATATAACGTCACCTCCACAGGACAATACCTAGCCAGGCTGTCTGTCAAATGGGATGTTTGTCTTTGTGTTTATTAAGATCTCTTTACCCAGTAACTTCAGAACCAAAATAGTACAAGAATAATCAAAAGTGTCGAAGTGACATTACAGGTGCTTCTGTAATCCTGATGGTGGTCACGCAACATTTCCCTGGAAATACGTGCAGACGTGAGTATGTGTGTGTGTGTGTATGTGTGTACACTGTGTGTACATAGTTACACATATACATGTGCCCATGGTACTCAGAGAATGGCTATAACCACCCCAAAGGGAGAACTTCTCTAATCTAAGATTCTACACTTTAAGTGACAACAGAGGCAAGATTTTCACTGCACATTTGAGGGCAGCATTTGTACCGGTCCTATTGTGTCTGTGAATGGTTTCAATATATAAGCAGCTAAATGTGTCCTGATTTGATTGTGAAGCAAAACAAAGAAAGCAACTTTTGATCTTCCTTTTCAAACCTCTGCATGACTAGGACGTCAGGCAAGGCCTGACAATCCACCTGGGATTTGTGTTGGAGTTTCAGTGTTTAAGATTAGAAAATATTTTGAGTAGGGTTTGTCCCAGAAAGACTTGTATATTGGCACAGTGGCACTCAAGGGTCCTCAACTCAGTGCTCAGGCTGTGGATAGTTTATTTGAAAATTTGGGTTTAAATTCCTATCCACAAGAAGCTGTGGTTGGCTTTGCCCGATCCCCTGCACATACTATACATACCATGCTTGTGCTTACCGCCATGCTTCGTCGCATGGACACCCATGCCTGGCCTCAGTGCAGTATCTTTCAGCATTCCTGAAGGATCTGCAGCGACCCAGTTGCAATGTCTGGAGCTTTTAGTATAAGCTCTCACCCTAGAAACTCAGTGCAGAGAATTTTGTCAACACAAAGAAATTATCAGAGGCTCGTCACATTCACAGAGTGTGGCACAGTATTATAGTCCCTAAGGTTTGCAAACTAACATGAGCAAATATGGCTGCCTCCGTAGAGACAGTGCTATTCTGTAGTAAGGCTTTAGAGATGAACTCAGCGAAGGATCACACAGCCGCTAAGAGTATTACTAGATGAAATACAACTGAACAGACAGTTCTCTATGTTTAATTCCTACTGGATGGAAAAGATAGTGAGGAGATTGTGCCTCTTCTGAGCTTCGTTTAGTAACAGCAGCAGCAACTGTCACCAAGGATTCCGGAGAGCTGGAGAGCATTAGGACTGCAAAACGAGCCAAGAGAAAACCCAGGAGCAGAAGAGCAGTGCAAGCTGCATCACGACACACATTCCTTGTGCCATTGAAGCTTTTGACTCCCCCAGAATGTTCCCGAATGACTTCTCATCATGGGTGACATTTGCTAAGGTGAAGTTAAAGAAAAACATCTAGCCTATTTTAACCTCCATTTGGAAACGTGTGTGTGAAATCTAAGTTTCTCTTTCTCTCTCTCGTCTCTTATATATCATCTCTGCCTTATCTTTTAAATACAGAAAATATTAGCCTTCTTGTTTTGTTCCATTTCTGCTGACTTAGTTAGTCTCAGGGCTTTGGAAGAGCCTCTACCCAGCATCCTCAGCAGTCCACTCAGCTGAGTCTGTGGTGTCCAACACAGTGCTGACCAGCCTCCAGGCTGGCCAAGAACTTTGGGCAGAATCCCACACCTCAAGGTTTACGTACATTTCTGTCAGCATTGGCTCCTCCTCTCACAAACAGAACGCATCCTGAGCAGAAGAGAAATAAAACATGAAAGCAGGAAACACAGCTACCAGAGTGATCATTTCTTTCATGCAGCAGCAGCTCCTTCTGCCTGGAGAAACCAAAGCCATGATCGCTTGGCCTGTCCTTCCATTTCCTTCATGATGAGAGGTTTGAAAACGTAGACCTCTGAGAGGAGATGCTACAGACTTCCAAATTGGTGAAAGAGCTCCCAGCATCACTTGGGTACTCCGGGTAGGAGGAACTGGAGGAGATGATGTTTTTCAGCCTCTGGAGAGCAATGATCAGCAGCAGAAGCAGGAAGGCGAGGAGGCTGAGGAATATGGACACATAGATGTAGACGCTGGACAGGTGGCCCGAGGACGGGTCTACCGATGTGGACAGCGACGTGGGAAACAGCTCCAGAAAGGTTCCGTTCTCCACACTCCCTGCAAACGCAGAGGAAGGGTCAGCCCCGGACATCTCTACAAGCAGGGGAGGCAGGCGTGAGTAGGTGCACTCGAAAGTTTCACACTGGGCTCAGGATCGATGGCATTGGCATTGCTTTTTCATGATGACAGCAGCAGAGATCGCAGGCCGGAACATCAGCGCAGTGAAACGTCTTGGTCCTTAAACAAAGGCAACATTGGGATCAGCTGTCCGCAGAGACTGTAGAAATAACAAAGGCACAGCTCAGTACACTTGTCAGGAGATAACACATCTGTCATCGAGTCTTTTAGTTTTTCTTTCAGTGAGGCTTAATTATGAAACCCACCAGGGAGGGGAAAGAATGAAACAATTCCCTGAGAGACAAGCAATGTTTATGTCTTTTTTATTATAAAAGAGATGTAAAATGATCTTCAATTTTTCCCTTCACAGGATCCTAGATGCCAGGTTTCTACAAGGTACTTAAAAGAAAGTAAAAAGAAAAATATACATCTGATGTCTTCCACTGTGATTCTACTCGATACTCCAAGTGGATGCTCTGAGATGGGAACCAAAGTTCAGATCCAAAACTCCCTCCTCCATAAAAGTCAACCCCACACAGGCTACACCCAGCCCACTCCTGACAAACACAGGACCCAAGGTGTTCTTTTTGTTTAACATTTTGATTTCTTAATAAAACTTTCTTGCCATGCGATCAGGGCTCATTCTTATGTGATTCTCTTTCTTGACAGATTTTTTTTTTTTTTTAATTTTTTCGAGACAGGGTTTCTCCGTAGCTTTTGGTTCCTGTCCTGGAACTAGCTCTTGTAGACCAGGCTGGCCTCGAACTCACAGAAGCTATGGGTTTCCTGTGTGGCCTTAGGATAATGGTGGGAAATAAAAGCAGAAAAATCTCTGTGTCTTTATTCAATGTTACAGTAAAATATTTTCTGCCTTGAAAGCCATTTTCCTAATATTGCAAATTGAGTATCATTTCCAGATTGTTTCTTAATGTAAAATGACAGCAACCCACATCTGATCTCATTGTTCTACTCTGAAACAACTGAGTGCATGCATTGTTGGAGCTGATTTTAATTTGGTAACATCAATTCTCATTTCCCTATTGGAGTTTTTAAGAAAAGCTGGCAGATCCTCTTTCTGTCTGGCAAATGGTTTATCCAGTGGCAAGTGTATAATGCTGGTGATGGCCAAACCCATTCTTGTTTAACGCTGTGGCAGGTGGCACGGTGGAAAAGAAATCACAGGAGAGTGTTTCAGGATGGCCCTTCCCTGCTCTTTTTCACAGATGAGGTTAAGCAAAGAAGAAAGGGGTTTCATCTTAAATGCATAGCCTTGGGGCAGCGACAACAGTCTCTTATCGAGAGTCATACTTAGATTCAGAGTAAGATTTTGATTTCTTTTTTTTCAGAGTCATTCTCAGATAGCAGATTTTTTTTTTTTTGAGGCAACTGAGACAGTTCATGGCCAACCACATCTTTCTTTGTTTCTTGGAATAAAAACTTGTTCTGGGAAGAAACACTCCAAGGGTAGTGAGCGATCTATTAAGCCAGCAAGGTGGAACTTGCCATGCTCTCCACGAGCTCAGTGATATGGGGGATGGTGGGACTGCACACACAAGACAAGGTTTGTTTACCCCTTTGGCACCATGCCCAGCCTCTCATAGACAGTGGCTACTTTTTTCCCATGAGATGGTTATAAAGAGTGTAAGTTTAAATTTTTTCTCTATCTTTTGAGATAGAATCTCACTATACTGCCCAGGCTTGCTTTGAATGTACAATTCCCCTGCCTTAGTTCCCGAGAGCTGGCATACACCTCCATTGTGATGGTTTGGAATGAACCTCCCTCATCTCAAGACTTCTCTCACACCTCACATGATGAGATATGTGGAGGAGGGGTGGCGTGAGAGCAGAGACTTGACACAGCCCTGAATTCTAACACAGTGATTTGTGAAATCCAGCCTGACAGCCAACCTCCATCGTGGTATAGGCTCTGTGCTGGGCTCTGAGGCTGCTGTTCGAATTTCTATGTGGGTAAGAAGTTTTGTTGTTGTGGAAAACAGGGACAGACTACTCTGTACCCTTGCAGCCAATCCTGAAGCCATTATCTAGCTATTATGCTCGACAAAGTTATGGCAGCCTGTCACCAGTATCAAGTCCTGCTGGGTTAGACGGAAAGGTGATCCTCCCAAGGCCTTGGAAAGTTAGGGCTGTGTGAGAAGGTGCTCAGGTGAGTGGCATCCTCCTGCCCAGATGTACAATTAAATACTGTAATGCAGTTGGTTGTTTCAGGTGATGTATCAGTTATCTTTCTCCCATTGAACAGTTAGGAACTACTATTGCCAGAATCCAGAAGAGATTTTTCTCCAAGATCTGAGCAAAGCCTTTTATTAGAAAGAAGGATGTATTATGTAAGACCTTGCATTTCCACCATCCCTTCCCATTTTGTGTAATTAATTCTTCTCTCATTCTTTCTTGTTGCCTTGGCCTTTAGGTTGTGTGAGATGAGAGAGAGAGAGAGAGAGAAAGAGAGAGAGAGAGAGAGAGGGGACTGGTGTTGACTGTGATTCTCTTCACCACTCTGTCTAAATGAAAAGCCTTATTTGCATTCAATGGCAAACACAGGCCTAGGCTTGCAGCCATCAAAGTAAAGTTTATCACCTAATGAGCTATGCTTACCCAAAGCTGATTCAGCCATCCACTGTTTTCCCATCTGAGAACTGTTCTTACTTATCAGAACAGTATGTGAGTAGACTTCTGTATGAACGCTCATCATGACTCATTGTATCTGTCCAATACAAATCGATACCCAGCTAAGGAACCCAGCTGCATGCAGGGGCTATCAGCCATTGGGCTGGAGCAGTGATTCTCAACCAGAGAGGTTGTGGCCCCTTTGGCAAACCTCTTTCTTCGAGAATATTTGCATTATGATTCATAATGGTAGCAAAAGTATAGTTATGAAAGAGTAACAAAAAGATTTTTGGTTGGGGGTCACCCCAGCATGAGGAACTTTCAGTCAGAGCATTAAGAGCACTGAGATCCACTGACATAGAAGGAACCTTAGCAGAAGGGACTGGAAGCTATGAGCAGTGCACTGGAATTCAGGGGTCCCTATTGGATAGAGTGCAGTGGAAAATTAAAATGCACTGCTCTCACAAGTCAAGTGAACGAACAGAAAACTTCCTTATTGCACTTTGGCAACACTGAAGTGAAAACTTCGTGTCAGTGGCTTATTTTTCACATCAGTTCTACAACAGCTGTGGACCCAATCTTCAGTGTCTCCCTCTCAGCCAAATCATTTATCTACTCAAGGTGTTTTCGGAGTCAATCCAGTGTTTACTGGGAAATGACTGAGCGAACGACTGCACAGTGAATGGATGTGGAAGCTAGAGAGATGGCTCAGCCGCTAGGAGCATGGACCACTCCCGTTGAGGATCTGAGTTTGGCTCCCAGCCCCCATGTCAGGTGACTCACAACTATCTGTAACTCCATGGCCAGGGGATGTGACACTTCTGGCCTCCTCGAACACGGCACTCATGTGCAAATGCAACCACACACACACATACACAAACACACATAATAATAACAAATGAATAAAAAAAATAAGATCAATACTGCTTTGTTAGGCAATGTATTTTATCCTAATTACGTTAGAAATTATTCAATTAAGATATAATATCATAAACATACTTCTTTGATGTACAAAGCAGAATTGATTCAGAGATGTTACAAAACCATGAAAACATTGCAAAGGGAATATAGTCTTACTTTCTATCTTCTACATTCTCAAAAATCATTTAGGTGTAAGTCCTTTTCATTTATTTGAGAGTGTTTTAGGGGAAAAAATGAAACTATTACTCCAGATAAATGTTTAGTGTATTCATGTTCCACAAAAAGATTTTATGTCTAAATCACTGCCTTGGCAAAAAAAAAATCATTCCCAAAATACTAGAAACTTGGAATAAGATGGGTAGGTAATTTAAATAGGCAACTGCCTAGATTAAAAAAAATAAAGCCAACATAGAGGCTATTCCAGGCATAGCATTGTAATGTTCTTTCATGGAGTTTGGGAAACGACCAAGAAGAAAAGTTCCCACACTTGTGAGTGGGCCCACTTTGCACGGGATGACTGAACTACATCAAAATGACAAAAGTGGTGACTTCAAGGTCAAATGAAACACGACTTCAAGGTCAGATGAAACACTAGTTAAGAAGTAGTAGAGTGATGGACATCAGTTTTGGGAGTGGGAGTAAAGGTCACAGCTAAAGGGATCATTTACAAAAAAAGCGCACAGGGAAGTAATGACTTGATCACAGGTAAAATTGTAACAAATCTGGGGAAGAAGATGTCAAAGCCAAGGATGCCTTTCAAAATGCTACTCCAGTTTTAATGAGGGCTTTAGGTTCTGTTTTCTCCTCAGACGCAAGTCTGATTATTTCCAGTTTTTAGAGTTGTGCTCAGAAAGACAATTTTGTCCTTAAAGTTTCTAGGATTGTTTATACCATAGCATTATCATTAGTATACAAGAAGTCTTACATACTGTTATACAATCTGGATGTGTTTTTAAAGAATTCACTTAAGCCATGCTGTGGTAGGAGTGAAGGAAGTTCTATTCTTTCTTGTCATGCTCCATTTTATCTCTTCAATTAAAATAATTTTATAATAATTTTTATTCTTTGAGAATTTCATATTTGTATGCAACATGATCTCTGCCCCCGTTTTTTTTACTTCCCCCAGTATCTGCACCAACATGCCTCCATCCCAACTTCAAGTCTTCTTTCTTCTTTTGATAACACACTAAACCAAATTAGTGCTTGTCTACTAAGTCCAATTGATTAGTGCGTGAATGGGAGGTCACTTGCTGGGTCATGGGACACCTACCAGTGGCCACATCCTCAAAGAATAATGCCTGTCCCTCCCTCCACACCTATTAACTGCCAGTAACTCCTCAGTTATGAAATTAGGACTGGAGATTGCATCCTCAATCTGAGCAAGTCTTGTGCAGGTAACCATAACTGCTTTCTATTTAGTGTATGCTTTTCCTGTGAAGGTATGCTTAGACTGGTTCCTTATCTAGTGTAATATATAGGAAAAAATTGTTCTTGTAGGGTTGTAATTGTCATAGATCTGAGATTGAAACAGCTTTAAAATTCTTTACACCCAATGCCAGCTATGCTTCAGCTTCAGAGCTTTTGCGTGTCCCCTAGACTGCTCCAGGGGAACAG